GTTTAGCGTCCATGATAAGTCCGAGATAGCGCGCCTTATCCACGTGTGGCACCGCCTCACTGTTAAGAACTAGGGGAATATGGACGTAGTTCCTAGATGTGAAAACTACGTTCTCTGATTTGGTGGCGTTTATTTTGTCCCGTCTGCATCAGTCCAATCCTGGATATTGTCCAAGCTCTCCTGTAGAATTTCTACAGTCTGTTTGTAACTTGGGGCACTCGCGAAAACACAAGTATCATCCGCGAATATATCCATTAATGAGTCGCCCTTAGGTTTAGGTATATCAGCTGTAAACAGACTGTAGAGCAGGGGGGATATATTGATCCCTGTGGGACCCCAGCCCTGATTGGTTTGAATTCCAAGTACGCATCCTCGAAACGCACTCTAAAAAAACCTATCAGGTATGAGGCAAGCCTAGTGTGGTTTCCAGGCAGCATACTCTAAAGTTTAGTTATCAGACGTTGGTGGTTAACTTTATCAAAAGCCTCGGCAACATCCAGGAAAACCCCGTTACAGTGGTGTACCTTCTCCAGAGCTTTTTCTATAAAATTCGTAACTCTGTGGAGTTATTCTATAGTGCTGTGTTCTGCACGAAAACCAAATTGTTCGTTAATAATTAAACCTTTTGTATTTACAATTTTGATTAAACGTTTAATGTATAATTTTTCAAATAATTTTCCAAGAATGGGAAAGAGAGAAATTGGTCTGTAAAAAGGAGGTTGAGCAGAAGGCTTTCGGATTTTAATATAACTATAATTTCAGCTTTTTTTCACTGGAGGGGGAACACACTGAAGTTTGATGACTGCATTGAAAATGGCAACCAGTTTCCTGATTGCACATGCAGGTAATTGCTTAACGATAATCCCCGATACCAAGTCAAAACCGGGCGCTTCGTGGAGTTTGGTTTTGATTTGTTAGGTTTGAACACATTTTCCAGGTGAGAGGCCAAGATATCCACTTTATCAGTAGCATTTTTAGCCCAGTTACCATCGCTGTCTCGAATTGGAAGGCTTATCTGAGCAGTACGCTTCAGATGTTTAGTAGCCTTCCATAGCAAATAGTCATCCATCTCTCTAGCCCCCAAGCCTGACAGGAACTTTTCGAATTTTTCATTTCTAAATGCGTTAATTCTTTTATGTACAATTTTATTAATTCCATTATACTCTCTCTTATCCGTCTCAAATCTGGTAGTTGTCATTTTTTCCCTTGCTTTCCTTTTATCTTTAATTAAATAAACTATTTCTGCAGGCAGTTTCAAATGATCGCATTTGATATGATCATTACTGGCTACAGGTGTACTAACTTTTGCTGGTTCTCTAATTTGTAGGGTCAGCGAATCGATTTCACTGTCCAGATCATGGGGGGTGTTTATCTTAGTATCGTCACAGATCTGTCCGCTCAACAGCTCTCTAAATTTCTTCCAGTTTGTCCTAGGAGAAATTAGGCAGGGAGGTCGTTTTTCTCAGAATAGGGTGGGTGAAAATGTTTAAGATTTCGGGTTCATGGTCCACATTCATTTCAATGTTATAACATTGTGTCTTGTCAGTTAATGGGAGATTGTTATACAGGGTGATCCAAGAGTTCCTTCCACCCCCTCTAACTTTTTACCTAATCGATTTGAAACTTGGAGGATGTTCCTAGGTTAAAAGGAGCTACTTTTTGGCCTCTCTAAAATTTTCAGGGGGGCCCCCTTGGGGGGGGGCAACGGACCCCAACTTTTAATTTTCAAATGGGAAGACCCCCTTTGTGATAGCTCTTTCAAAAGAGCATAAAAAAAGAAAACTTTTCGCGCAAACCCGAAGTCAATATCTCAAACCGTTCCAAAATGGCGGCCGGTTAAAGTTCATAATGGCCGAAAATTCACACCGGTTATTTGTCGATGGATTTGCGCGAAAATCTATATGTGGGGGTATTTTGACACGATAAAAACGAATTTGACGTTAGATTTTCAAACAAACCGAAATTTCCAACATGGCCGCCGGTTAAAGTTCAAAATGACCAAAAATTTATTTTTTTAGAAATCTAAGTTCAAATGTGTTTATAGTATGCCAAAATACTCTCAAATTCCAAGTTTTAAGCAAATCCATCAGCAAAAAAACTGAGGTGACAATTTTCGGCCATTTTAAACTTTAACCGGCGGCCATTTTGGAAATGTCGGTTTTTTTGAAAATCTAACGTCAAATTCGTTTTTCTCGTGTCAAAATACCCCAACATACAGATTTTCGGGCAAATCCATCAACAAATAACCGGTGTGAATTTTCGGCCATTTTGGAACGGTGTCTTCGGGTTTGCGCGAAAAGTTTTCTTTTTTTATGCTCTTTCGAACGAGCTATCACAAAGGGGGTCTTCCCCTTTGAAAATTAAAAGTTAGGGTCCGTTGCCCCCCCAGGGGGACCCCTGGAAATTTTAAGGGGGCCAAAAAGTAGCTCCCCTTGACCTAGGAACATCCCCCAAGTTTCAAATCTTTACCTCAATTAGGTAAAAAGATAGAGGGGTGGAAGGGACTTTTGGATCACCCTGTAAACATAAAAATCAAAACAATCTGGGTCTTTTGAAGGATTACTCGGGTAAAAAGTGGGTTGACCTGAGGAGATATAATTACCCCCTATTTTGCTGACTGCTCTTTCTAATCGGGCTCTTTTAGTATTAGTTATCCTAGAGGACCAGCTGAGGGATTTGCAGTTCCAGTCACCCCCAATGATAAATCTTGGGCCACAGTGTTTGAAGAAATTGGAATATATTTCATCCGTGATTTTTGCACAAAGTGGTGTGTAGACTGCTGCCAAATTGAAGCAGCCCAGACCTGTGACGACCTCGATAATGACACACTGGAATGCGTCCTCCTCGATAATTTCAACTAACGAGTGACTAATGCATTTCTTTATAGTTACAGTGCCCCCCCCCCCTCTTGCTTTGGCTTCTGTTTTTGGGTGCAGCGCACTATAGATGTTAAAGCCTTGCATATACCGCTTATCGTTCCTTTGGAAATGGGTCTCGGAAATGAGGGCCACATCCACATTTAGATCTTTTAATGATTGACCTTGTTCGATTGATTTGCTATGAGTCAATGCATAGCGTCCCAAGAAATGATACTGAAGATGAAATAGGTGTTATTTATTTATTTTTTACTCATTTTTTGGAAACATGTTTCAAACTTTTCCAATTTTGGGGTTAGAGTCTCGATTATATGAGAAACGAATTATTAATATTCAGGTATCTAGTAGCAGGAAAGCAGCTATGCGCGTTGCGGGTCGGGGAGGCGTGTTGAGTGTTGCGGTGCTCCTAGGGGTTTAGGCGCACTCAAGCAGGACACTTGCGCCTTTTCCGATCAAAATACTGCAAAATGGACAAAATTTGCGCGTAAAGGACGCAAACTTCCTCATTCCAATGGGAATTGACTCTTTTTATTCTTCAAAATTCAATGTTTCAAATTTCAATCCTTTCGGCCATAGCGCATGGGTCTAGGAGTGGTTTTAGGATACCAAATTTTTTGCAGCTTGTTTTTAGCCCATTTGGTCGCTAAAAATCGTGGTGAGCCCGGGCTCTGCAAAAATTCAGTTTTAGTACTCTGCACTGAAACGATAGTCATTCGGATTTCATGTACTGAATACGTAAGGGTGATTTCATGATAACAGGAATAGCTAAAATGTGCAACACCTTTAAGAAAAGAGGGAGAAACTTCGGGTACTTGGGCTGCTCCATAAATGCAACGCAGGCCCACTCTCAAAGAGCCATGGCACTTCGGAATCTGGGCTGCAACTCACCACCGACGCTAGCGCTAATAAACCACTGTGATAGAAGTTCTTATGTTCCTTTTAAGTTTTTTTTAAATCTGTTTTAAGTTTAATAATTTGTATTACTTATTCTTGTTTTTTAAGAGGAAAATTTTAATTAATATTTTTATAAAATAGTAGTTGGTTCTTTAGATATATGCTAATTAGAAACAAAAAAAATTAACCTAACCTAACCTTACCTAACCTTACCTTACCTAACCTAACCTAACCTAACCACTGGAGGGATGCCTTACGTTACGCCAATCAGGCTTGTGGGGCAAGATCCTCTAAATCCCGTCATTCTAAAAAGAACAACGTCATCCTAAAAAGGATAACGTCATCCTAAAATGGATAACGTCATCCTAAAAAGGAGATAACGTAATCCTATGTTGAAGGAGGCATAAGCGTGAATTTGAATTTGCCGCGAAAGAAAAAACGGACGGGAACGGTTTGCCGCGAAAGGAACGGATTGAATCAGCCCGAGTACCGAAGTGTCTCAGAGGAGGGGTCAACAGGTCTGCAGAGAAAGAGTGGAGTGGCTGCGAGGAGCAGCCCATGTACCGAAGTACACCCGAAAAGAGCACCAATTTTGACCAAATTTCATTACTTCGTTTTAAGGGTATTAAACTCCCTCTTTCCAGCTTTGGCACGAACAACTCTGAGTCAATACAAAGTTATGGGGATTGACAAACAAGCATTGAATCAGGTATCAGCTCTTCCCGCAGGACTGCTGGAGGTCCGGGCAAACATGGTGGCACTGCCGAATTGCGTCGGTTACGTAACACAGACACGGCATAACGTTCACATAATTTGAAAACCAAACATAAAGCTGGGCGATTCTTGAGAAAGGAGGTGGAATTTATGCTTCCTTAAAAGGTTTCTAAACTTTGGGGACTTCCATTTAGTTTAATAATATTGAATTGAGGATTTTGTGTAGTGAGGAATTAGTGCTACACACCTAAAAATCAGTGGTTTTCATAAAAATTAAAGTTTTTATTGTAAAAGAAGCCGACTTATCAGTCGTAAACTATGAAATCACCCGTAAAATAAAATAAAGTAAAAGCAATTTTTTTTAACTTTTCCTCTGAATTCTGACCATGAATTCCTTACTGGCAAAATCTTGATCAATAACAGGTCACTGTGATTGAATAGGCTTTATTCAAGGGACGAAACAATTAGATTAACAAAGCATACAAACAGAAAAAAAGGTAGTATGAAGCTACTTACCTCAAAGTATTTGTGGATAAAAGAAAATGGAATGTAAACCTCTTCACCTTCTTTTCTACAGCGGATTGTATAGTCACCATTAATACTACAATCAATTTCTTCTGTCTTGAAGAGATTTAAGGTGCCAGAATTAGATTGTGGATCTGAGTTTTGGTCTCCCTCCACTTTTAGTTTCTGGAAACAGAGCCGATTAAAATTCAAAATTATTAATACTGAGGGATACCTATGCTGACACTGAAAATACAAAATGATAAGCTCCAGTACGGAATGTCAGTTAACAGTAAAGTGAGGATCCTTTCTGGAAAATCGACTACTAATTAACCCCTAGTGACAAAGTCAGTTTCCACCATTTGGAACAGCATCTCTCACTTTCGGATCATTAATCACCACTGCCTGGTATGAAAATGTTGAACTATTATGGGGATAGAAGTGTTTGCCCTATGTTGAAGAAATAACATCAAAAGTCACCCTGGCAATGAACAGTGAAAGGATCCCGCAAACTCTTCAGGGGGATGTGTACTTGGTTATATTGGTTACCCACTTTTCTTTTGAAATAAACTCATCTATTGATGCTCCTTAAAAGTAGCGTTAATTTTCTCCGAGATACCATTTTCACACAAATAAGTGATTGTTGATACTTCAGTTTTGATAACTCTTTGAATAAAGGGGAGTGGCCGAGTGATCAAGCGTCTTAAAGATCCTTCTTACTTACATATTTCAGGACAGAGTGAACAAGGAACAATGTAAAGCGTGTCTGTCCTCCTGTTATCTACATGTTGCTCCACTCTGTCTCTCCTTTGGGACAAAGAAAGAAACTGATTTGGAAGGTCAAGCAAAGAGGCATGTGGATCCGAGATAAGAGGACTGCCACCAGGCAGAACACCTAAAGCGCTAGGGCTTTTCCTGCTTACACACAACTGCTTGCGCCTTGATAACACACGGTAGACCATACTCGGGTGCTGAAATGAGGGTTCTTTCGAACTTTGTATGTCCGCACTGCCTTCTTTTAGTCAAAGAATTATTAAACCTCAACCGCTGATAGTGCAAAACAGTAGCTTATAGAAAGTTGCCGAGATGATGACTTTTGATCAGTATCCATCGTGGTGTTTAACGCAATAAAACAGTGGGAAAATGATTCTGGCACAGATCCCCTGAGGAGTTGGCAAGGTCCTTTCAGTATATTTCTAATTTTTAAAAGATCACGCAAGCAAAATTTAGCTGCACCCTTGGATCCTTCCTCCCACAGAGAAGAAAGGTCCTCAATATTACAGTGTTCCATTCCATGGATTCATTCTGCTCCTGAATTGTGAGGCGGAAAATTACAGCAACAAGGCGGACACCAATTATCAGTGTGGAAATTCAAATGCTCAGCAAGTACTGTTCAGTTCTGGCATAGAGATATGAAAGGAAGAAGTTAGGTGCAGAAAGGACCCTATCTCTAGATCAGCATCTTGAAAAACTGCTTCCGAAATGATACTTTCCACCTTCATAGATATACCCTTAGATTATTGCTGCTTTCATAGAACTTGGAGGGAATTCTAGATAGCAACATGTAGATTGAATACCTGACTAATGGAATAGATGTCGATCTTCCTCTCCAATGAATTACTCCTCAGATTAGCTCCACAACGAATCCACAACAAAATAGTGCCGTAGAGGATAAATCCAATGAAAACCAGGAAAATAATCTTGAAATTAATGCGCATCCTACTATTTTAGAGATGATTAAAGAAAAAAACGGGAGAAGAATTAATTAATTTAAGGGGTATTCCTGATACTCCAGTGGAATGCATGCATGGGTGCAACTATTAGCGGTGCAGTCCGGGCAGAGAGTAGAATTGGAGTAGATGCAAGAGTTAGAGTAGAGTTGCTCGAGTTGCTCAATTTGCTCAAACGCCGTCTTAGGTTATATTTATGTTTTCGTTTATGTTTCATTCATCATAGGAAGTAGCCAAGATAAAGACGGAGGGCTAAAAGCAAAAAATGAAGCTTCTTTTCAACCACCTCTACTATTGGTTAGAGGATTGGCGGCGAAATCGGGACAAGTTTGAAATTCAAATGTAGGGCGGGAACTAAATAAAATTGCGGGAAAAAAGTATTCTAGGTCGATTTTTGCCAAGATTCACTTACCCACTCATATTTTTTTAACTTTAAGTTAGCTTAAAGTTAAAAGTTTAACCGATAAATTTCATTTTGGAGTAACGGTGATCCAGATCTGTAACGGCCTGTTTGAACTAGAGTAGAGTACCTGTATAGGGAGAGTAGCGACAGATCTGAAACTCCGAAAGTCCATCAGGCCTTCACTAGAGTCCCTTTATACTTAGAGTCAAGACAATTTGAATCCATTTCTGATTGGTTCCCGTATTTTAGGCCTCCACAGTGTCACAAACGGGAATAAAGATTACATTTTCACCAATTGCAAAGATTATAATCTGGAATGGACCAGGGAATTACGGGTTCGGCAAGGAACAAACGGAATGAGAGGAGGAACGGAGGAAGGCATTTGAGAATAGGCCGATCAAAGATTACGAAAAACGTTCAATTTCTGTAATCTTTATTCCCGTTTGTGACATCCATGAGTCGAATTGTCTTGACTCTCAGTATAAAGGGACTCTAGCCTTCACCGATGCCTCCGCGAATATAGAGTCCCTTTATACTGAGAGTCAAGACAATTCGGCTCATGGATGTCACAAACGGGAATAAAGATTACAGAAATTGAACGTTTTTCGTAATCTTTGATCGGCCCATTCTCAAATGCCTTTCTCCGTTCCTCCTCTCATTCCGTTTGTTCCTTGCCGAACCCGTAATTCCCTGGTCCATTCCAGATTATAATCTTTGCAATTGGTGAAAATGTAATCTTTATTCCCGTTTGTGACACTGTGGAGGCCTAAAATACGGGAACCAATCAGAAATGGATTCAAATTGTCTTGACTCTCAGTATAAAGGGACTCTACGCGAATAAAGTTAGGGCCCAAAAGAGCAGCCAGCAGCCTATGAATGTCGAATGTCCAGAGCGATTTACAAATACAATTGTTACGAACCGTCGTTTAGAAAGCATGTATTTGGCTTACTTTTTGCATAAATTTACTTATTTTTGCGAAAGAACGCTCATTTATGTACATTCTTAGCCATCTTGGTTAGAATAGAGTACCTGTAAAGCGAGAGTATGGACAGACGTGAAACTCCGAAAATCCATCAGGCCTTCACCGATGCTTCTACGAATAAAGTTAGGGCCCAGAAATGCAGCCAACCTATGAATTTCAATTATTCAGAACGATTTACTATTACTATTGTTACGAACCGTCGTTTATTAAGCACGTGTTTGACTCAGTTTTTGCATAAATTTACTCAATTTTGCGGAAGAACGCTCATTTATGTACATTCTTGGCCATCTTGGTTAGAATTGGAACCTGCAGACTGGCAGTGAAATTTTGTGCGTTAGAGGTTGGTTAGAAGGGTGGCTGCACTTTTGGGCCCTAATAGAGTACCTATATAGCGAGAGTATGGACAGATCGCTTCATGGAGAGCTTAGGGCCCAAAAGTGCAGCCACCCTTCTAACCAACTTCTAACGCACAACATTTCACTGCCAGTCTGTACATTCCAATTCTAACGAAGATGGCTAAGAAAGTACATAAATGAGCGTTCCCCCACAAAAATGAGTAAATTTATGCAAAAACTAAGTCAAATACGTGCTTTATAAACGATGGTTCGTAACAATTGTATTAATAAATCGCTCTGGATAATTGAAATCCATAGGTTGGCTGCATTTCTGGGCCCTAACTTTATTCGCGGAGGCATCGGTGAAGCCCTGATGGATTTTCGGAGTTTCACATCTGTCTATACTCTCGCTATACAGGTACTCTAGGCCCTAAGCCCTCCATGAAGCGATCTGTCCATACTCTCGCTATACAGGTACTCTAGGTTAGAATTGAAATCTGTAGGCTGGCAGTGAAATTTTGTGTGTTAGAAGTTGCCCAGAAGGGTGGCTGCACTTTTGGGCCCTAAGCCCTCCATGAAGCGATCTGTCCATACTCTCAAGGCCTAGATACACACGACGATTAATCGCCGCGATTGGGTTGGTTCGGGTCGCATCGCTCAACGCAATACAATCAACAGAGACCATCAGTGCGATTACGTATATACACCTAGCGATTAATCGCCGCGATCAGCGCTGATTGTTTATGTTATTACAACCTTTCCTGACTTTCCTTACTTCTGCAGCATATGGTATCTCTGTTATTCTCAATTTTCTTCCTGAGAGCAATAGAAATTGCTACATCTTTACAAAAATGAGAAATTATAAAAAGAAATTTCATGAGGAAATTTCCAGAAATTTCCAGAAATTTCATATAACACTCAGAATGCAGTATTAAACCCTAGAAACTTATGAATCTCCTTAATTCCCTTAATACACACGTGGTAAACTGTGAAAGGGAACTTTAGAAA